CTCACTGGGGGATTCTAGGCAGGGGCTCTACCACTGAGCCACACCCCCAGCCCCTCACTGGGGGATTCTAGGCAGGGGCTCTCCCACTGAGGTCTCTTTTCTGATCCCTTTCTTGCTTACTCCCTTTCACTCCTCGTGGCCTCCTCTCTGTTCCTTTGCAGGTTCCTGCCTCAGGGTGTTCACTGGTGCCTTTTCTTCTCCATATCTCACTCTTCTCCCTGATGTCTGTCCTTCCTGGCATTTACTGTTTGTTGATTGAGTTTTTCTCTGTTCCGTGTTGTGCGGACAGGAGATGGCTCAGGGGCTTGCTTGGAACCTGAGCAGCGCATGCTGTGGTACTGATAGTTGTGGACCAACCACAACCAGTCAGTCATGCTGGGCTCAGCGCAGTGAGGGAGGTAAATCAGGAGGTGGAGGAGGAGAGGTGGTCAGGGTGGTTCCTTCCTTCCTGGAAGAGATGTTGACAGGAGCTGAGGTTGTGTTGAATGGTCCAGTGGAAGGGCATTGTGTGTGCAGGGAAGACAGTGTACATGTCCCTAGGGGAGAGATACATGTGACCTGCATGAAGAGATTGGACAGGACATCTGGACCCCATGATGTGAGCCCAGAGCAGGGGCTTGGCTCTTCATGGTGACTGTGGGAAGAGCCTAGAGGCCATAGGGAGCTACAGAGCGATGTGGTTAGAGGTGGGACCCCTCGGAGCATGGGGTCAGGTCCCACAGTCATGTCACATGTCCTTGGGAGCCAGCCAGTTTTCGGAGAGTTACCTGGTGCTCTGCCTAGTGGCCCTGGGCATGAAGGCTGCTCTGAGTTGTTGGTGTCTAGTGGCAGGTGACGCTTGGGACAGGAAGTAGCCCAGGGCAGTTCAGTCAGGGTGTACAGAGGACTTGTGGCCCCGAGCCTGGTCTACACTCTAGGCACCTCCCCTTTCTGGGGCCCCAGCAGCAAGCGTCCCCACAGCTGGTCTCAGACACAGAGACTGAAGGCACGTGCCTTCCCATATGCCTGAGCCCTTGGGAGTGTGTGAGCCTGGTTGACGTGGCGTCTCCCCTGGGAAGAGGAAGCATGAGCTCAGGGTCTGATTTCCAGGCACAGCTGTGGGACTCTGGGTGGCTCTCTGTGCCTGTGCCCTGCCTCAAACTTGCCGTTCCCTTGTGAGCTGCAGTTTCCCCCTGGATCCTGGTACAGCCCCTTCTAGTTCTGCCATTGGTGTGTGTGTGTCTGTCTGTCTGTCTGTCTGTGTCCAGAGGTATGTGTGTGTGTCTGTCTTTGTGTCCAGAAGTGTGTGTGTGTGTGTATGGTATTTGTGTGTGTGTCAGTCTGTGTTCAGAGGTGTGTGTGTGTGTATGTGTGTGTATATGTGTGTCTGTTTGTTTGTGTCCAGAAGTATTTGTATGTGTGTGTGTCTGTCTGTTCAGAGGTATGTGTGTGTGTCTGTCTGTTTGTCTGTCTGTGTCCAGAGGGGTGTGTGTGTCTAGCGTCTATGTCCAGAAGCCAGAGGTGTCCTCCTCAGTTTCTTCTTCTTCTTTTTTTTTTTTTTTTGAGACAAGGTTTGTATCCTGAAACTGGCTCTGTAGACCAGGCTGGCCTCAAAATCATTGAGATCCACCTGCCCCTGCCTCTAGAGGGGTAGGACTAAAGACATGCGCTATCAATGTCCCACTTGTGCTTTTTTAAAATACGGAGATTCAAACTCAGGTCTTCATTTCATAGTACCCACTTTGCCAGTCCAGCTGTCATCCCAGCTTCTGGTTGGAACCTGCTACTCTAGCTGTTCTTATGCTCAAGGGTGTGTGTGTGTGTGTGTGTGTGTGTGTGTGTGTGTGTGTGTGTGTTACTTCTCTGGTTGCTCTGATGGAATATCCAACACAAACATTTATTGAAGGAAGGAAGGAAGGAGGAGTTTATTTTGGCCCATGGTTTGAGTGTGCAGGCTATCATATCACCGTGAGGAGGTCGTGGCCACGGGAGCCTGAGGCTCAGTCACGGTGCATCTGTGGTCAGGAAGCAGAGAGCAGTGGATGCTGGGGCTCAGTGTGCTGTCTCCTTTAAAAATGTATTTACGGATTTATGCACATGTATCTGTGTGCCTGTTGTGTGTATGCAGGTGCATCTGCGTGGATGTGTGGAGACCAGAAGAGGGTGTTAGATGTCACCTTCTAGTCCTTGCCAGTATGGCTTTGAAGCAGGGTCTTTCTCCAGAGCTGGAGTTCAATGTCTTCTTGGCTTAGCGGGCAGACAGGCAGCCCCAGCTGTCTTCCTGTCTCCTGTCCCTTGGAGCTGTAGTTACAGGTGTGTGCCAGACGCCTGGCTGCTTACGTGGGTGTTGGGACCTAGCTCTAGTTTTTAAAATGATGAAACAGGTCCTCTTGACTGCCGAGCTATCTGCGCAGCCACTTCTCTTTAATCTTTTTGCATCTGTCTGTCTGTCTGTCTGTCTTGTGTGTTGGCATGCACATGTCAAAGTCAGAGGACAGCTTGCAGGGATCTCTTCTCTCTATCCAGCACCTAGGTCCCAGGGATCGAACTTACTTACGCTGCCAGGCTTGCTTATGAGAGCCTCTACTCCCTGAGCCTTCCCAAGCCATGCTGCTTCTTACTCAGCCTGAGTCAGCGAGCGACCCAGGGAGTAATTTTGCCCACCTTCAGGAGTGAGTCTTCCTACCGCTCCTGAAACCTCTGTGGAGACCCCTCATAGACATGCTCAGAGCTTAGCCTACTAGGAAATTATAGGTCCCGTTGGGCTGATGGTATTAACCATCACAGGAGGGACCAGTTAGAGTGAGAACTCCAGGGCCTCAGAGGCAAGCTGTATCCCGGCTGGGCCTCCCCTCCTCTGCTCCCAGCTGCAGGTGGGGTTGCTCCCTGCTTCCTGTTTCCCCACCACCACCCCTTCCTTTCCTCCTCCATCCAGTCATTCTGGAACCATGTAAGTTAAGATCTTGATGACTCTGGCTCTGGGGAATAGAACCTTTGGGGACCAGGGCCCCCTTGCCTCCCTGATCCACCTCTGTCAACTCTCACCACTTGAGAGTAGACAGGGTTTTCCTGTATTGGGCCTGGTTTTAGATGCTCTAGGCAGTGCTGAGCTTTACTTCAGGAAGACTTCCTGGTACTCTGTCTGCCTCTAGGGACTGTCCCTGTCCCCTAGGAGGCTGCTTGGCTGTCTCTCTGGCACGTTTGGTTCTGGGCTGTCTGGGCTCCTGTGGCTATGCTCTCTAGTCTGCTTACATGGCTGCGCTCTCTCCTAGCTCTTCTGAGGCTCTGGATGGTTGCGTCTCCATCCTCCCCAGGAGACCAGAAGGGTCTTGTGCAGGGACAGTGCTCTTCAGGACTCTGAGGTTTTCGGGGTGCAGGGAGATAGATGGGGTGCATGAGCTTAGTTGCTGCATCTTAAGTGTTTCCTTGACCTGTGAGGATCCTGAACATGGCCTACTGTAGACCCTGTCAAGGATCCCCAGACAGGGTCCTCAGTGGGACTCTGTTGGTGGTCTCTGTCACCTGAGACATTGCTGGGCCACACTAAGGATGACTACTTTGATCAGTTTATTTATTTACTGAGACAGAGGCTCATGTAGCCCAAATTGGCTTTAATTTGCCATGTAGCCAAGGATAACCTTGAACTTAAAATCTTCTTCTGTGTGTATACCCAGCATCCTCCTGCAGGACTGCTAAGCAAGTGGTTTGCCAGCCGAGCCACAGTTGCAGCCTCTTCTCTTCTATAGCACTTGTTTGTTGATTGTGTGTGTGTGTGTGCACGTGTGTGTGTGTGTGTACACATGGACATGTTAACCTGTCATCCTATATGTGTCAAGGTCAGAAGACAACTTGTAGGAGCTGGTTCCCTTCCTTCCACTAGTTCCAGGAATTGAACTCAGGTCATCAGGCTTGGCAGCAAGCACTTTTACTTGTTGAGTCTCCCTGTCATTTTGAGTTTTAAGTACATTTCTTGGGGCAGCAGAGACGGTTCAGTGGCCTGTGGGGCTTGTTGTGGAGGAAGACCCAACGTCCTTCTCTGGGTTCCTCGAGCACATCACGCAGACATGAGTGTAGCACATATACACATACACACATAGCATAAAATGAATAAAAATGAAAGAAAGTGGCATTAGTTTTGTGTGGTCGTGTGTATAGGCATGGTGGTGCGCCCGTGGAGGACAGGGGACATCTTGCAGGAGTCCAGGTCTCTCCCCTGTAGGTTTAGGGGATTAAACTTGAACCCTGGTCTTCAGGCTTGGTAGAAAGCACCTTGATCCAGTGAGCCTCCTCTCTGCCCACACCCCTCCTTTTGTTTTTTTTTGCTGGGGTTAAAGGCGTGCACCACCATGCCTGTTTGATAGATTTTTATTGTGTTTAAACTTGCGTCTGCTAATGTGATTTTTCACTACAGGTGAGTGACAGGCTCCAGGCGTGGGAGGGATGGAAGGGAAGTTTCTGGGCCAAAGACCCCTCAGAGGGGTTCAGGGGTCAGAAGGGGACTGTGTTGCTGGGGTTGCTGGAGGGTTTTGTCAGGTGTACGAGGGGAGGGCTGTGGGAGGTGTAGTGCGAATCTGGACTACTGCTGGCTGGGGACTCACTGCCACCTTTGGCCCCCAGGGCATAGCCGGACTGAAGATGACTGTGATCGAGCCAGGCACCGGGAGGATCGGCTGCTAGGGACACGGCTGGACCGGGACCAGGAGAAGTTGCTCCGGTGAGGGCTTGGGGACCTGAGAGTGTGGCTGAGGGCTTCTGGAGTAGGGGTGTTGAGGTGACCTCTGAGCAACACCATGGTCCTTGAGAGCCAGTCACCTTAGCTTTGTCCGGGTGACTCAAGGCCCCCTCTCCAGCCACTGGTGAAGAGCCTTAGCTGTCTCCAGGCTCACTCTAAGTGCCTGTCAGCCACCTGGGCTGTGTCTCTTTCACCCTACCCCCATTCCTGGGCTTCCAGCCTTTCCCATTCCTCTGTTTCCCTTTGCAGAGAGAGTAAGGAGCTGGCTGATTTGGCCCGTCTACACCCCACCAACTGTGCTCCCAATGGTCTGAACCCCAACCTCATGGTGACTGGCGGCCCGACGCTGGCAGGCTCAGGACGCTGGTCTGCTGATCCCGCAGCGCACTTGGGCACGCACCCCTGGCTGCCTCGCTCCGGTAGCACTTCCATGTGGCTTGCTGGACACCCCTACGGTGAGTGCAGCGTTGTGGGGTTTCTTTCCTTGAGGGGAGGCTGCAACCATGTTAGTCTTTCTCTGGCTCCCAGTAAGGTGGGAGTGACACACCTGTCCCCAGTCTTCCCGAACTCTTAAGGTTCCTTTTGGGATTCTCAGTGGACGGCTGGGACTACGATGCTGTCAGTGGGCCGGGAACCTCCTGACATTGATGTAATCCCGGCTTTCTCCCCCTAGGCCTGGGACCCCCTTCTTTGCACCAGGGCATGGCCCCCGCATTCCCACCTGGCTTAGGGGGCTCCTTGCCATCAGCTTACCAGTTCGTCAGGGACCCCCAGTCTGGCCAGCTGGTGGTTATTCCTAGTGATCACCTGCCTCATTTTGGTAAGTGACCCCTGAGTCACAGCCAGGGACTTTTCCTGGGCACCCATGGGGGTGGAACAGCTCTGTATATGGGGTGGGGACGCAGAGGTCCAGGGAAACCCGAATCTCAGTTGTGTCCAGAGAACAGATCTTGGGAATTCCATGAGAAGTCAGTTAAGGTCACCTGTGGGGACTGGGTGTCCTTGTCCCTCCTGTGGCCTACTCTGCTGACCATGGAGTGTGGTTCCTATGGTGGTCTTGGTACCATCCTGCAGGTTGGCGTGCTCCATTCTACAGGGTGTTATTTTAGGCTGGGAGGCCAGCGGGGTCTGTTGTATCTGCATTGGACATCAGCATCTCCCTCTGGAAACGGGGTGGGAGCCCTCACAGGAGCTGGGGCTGTGGGTGTAGCCCCCTGTTGTCTGTCTCCACAGCCGAGCTGATGGAGCGCGCAGCAGTGCCTCCCCTCTGGCCGGCCCTTTACCCGCCGGGCCGTAGCCCCCTGCACCACGCCCAGCAGCTGCAGCTCTTCTCTCAGCAGCACTTTTTGAGGCAGCAAGAGCTGCTCTACCTGCAACAGCAGGCGGCCCAGGCCCTGGAGCTGCAGCGGAGCGCACAGCTGGTGGTGAGTCCTGGCCCCTGTGTTGGGAGGCAGATACCCTAAGCCACAGAACCTGAAGGTAGTAGCAGTCAGGGAGGGCTCCCTGTAGGAGGAAGCATCTGAATAGAGACCCTGGGTGTCATGGATGGTACCCAGAACAGATAGGACCCCATGAGCAGTGGGAAAAAAAAACAAGACAAGAGGTGACCTGTGGATTAGAGATGCTTGTACTGGGAACACCCAAGGGGTCTTAGAGGGTCTTCTCTGTCTTTGGCCAGTTACCTCTATAGTCTAGGAGCTTCTGCTTCCAGGAAGTAGGGGTGCTAGTAATAGTTACTCAGTTCTTAGGTCCAGGGGGCCACAGGGGCAGCAAGTGTGTGGAGTTGTCTTGTGTTGGGTACTAGCTGCTGGGGCCCTGTAAGTGCTGTCAGATGCCTCAGTGAGTTCCTGTTCTCCACTGAGGTGCTTGGATCTGCAACTTAGTACTGAGCAGGTACTAAGTACTCCGTTGTGGGCACAGTGCGTGGTACAGGGTATGGTCATTATTATTGTCAATGGCTCTTTGCCTCAACCATGAGGGTCCCAGGAGGGCCAGGGTCCTGATAGAAACCTCTTCTTGTCTGGAGTCAAGGAATTTTAGGCCACAGACCCTCCTTGTGACACCCAGGGCCCTGTGCCCTGCCCCCAGCCCGCTCTCTGGGTTCTGTAGAATGCCATGTTTATTACATGCGTGCCATGGTAGAATGTCTGTGGTGGATTGATTACCTTGGGACGGGGAGGGCTGGGTGGCCTGGAGCGTGGATCTTGCCTGATATTTTCTGGAGTGGAAAGCTCCGGGGACTGGGCGATGGTTCCTGCCGTGCTCATCCTACCCCATCTCCCGTCCCTTCTCCCGTTCCTCAGCAGGAGCGATTGAAAGCACAAGAGCATCGGACCGAGATGGAGGAGAAGATGAGTAAGAGGGGCCTGGAGACCACGGGCAAGGCCGGCCTGAGCGCTACAGGCCCCGGGCTTCTGCCTCGCAAGTCCTCCGGCCTGGCCGCCGGCCCGACAGGCACCCACAGCAAGGCCATGAGCCCACCCCCGTCTCCCAGAGCCTCCCCAGTGACCTCTCTGAAGGCCAAGGTCATCCAGAAGGTGGAGGATGTGTCTAAGCCTCCAGCCTATACCTACCCCGCCACACCTAGCTCGCACCCCAGCAGCCCACCGCCTGCCTCCCCACCTCCTACCTCTGGGCTCACCCGCAAGGAAGAGGCTCCCGAGAACGTGGTGGAGAAGAAAGACCTGGAGTTGGAGAAGGAGGCGCCCAGCCCGTTCCAGGCCCTATTCACAGGTGGGAGTGTAGGACAAGAGCTGCCTAGCCGCGCGACACTGAGTTCCTCAGTGTTCATTGGCGGCCTGGTTTCCTCTCTCAGCATGTCTGTTCATGTGCTCATTCATTCATTCACTTGCTTCATTCATTCATTCATTCATTCATTCACTCACTCTTGCTGAGTGCTCTGTAGAGCCCACTGTCCAACTTTGAAATGAATGAATGCAGCTGAGGTTTCTTCCTGGTCCCTTGTAAGTGCATGCAGGGGATGTAGGCCTGATAGTGTCCCTGCAGGGGGATGCTCAGAGCACAGCAAAAAGCCAGAGCTGTGAACTCCGTGTGTAGTCACTCTGGGAACATCAGCGGTTCCCATCTGGGCGGCCTCCTTGGCCCTGACACATGCTGTCCCAGTGCCCCATAGTCATCAGGACTGGCTACAGGTGGCTTTGGGGGCTGAGGTATGTGTCGTCGTTTCTGGGGACAGTTAAGATTGTGAGGTTATATTTACGAGAATTTGGGTTCTAATTCAGAATGGCGCATCAGTGCGATGTGAGTTTGCACAGGATTGTCCCCTCCAGAGCCATTCGGTGTGAGGCTGTGCTAAGGATTAAGCACATGTCTGGCCTGGAGCATACGCCGGAACACTGTTGTGTTTTGTTAGGCTCCTACTGGGCACTGCCCAGGTCTGTGTCAGGCCTGAAGCTGCCGCAGTCTTTCAGTCAGCCCTGCCACTTAGGGCAAAACTGTATTACTGTGAAGGATTTTGTTCTGTTGTGTTTTGAGACAGTGTCTCCCTATGTAGCCTGGGCTGGCCTTGAACTCATGGAGATCTGCCTCTCAAGTGCAGGGGACAGTTGGTTCTATGATGTCTTTTCTGGCTCAGGTTATGGGGACAGGTCAGAGCCTCCCCAGGAGGCCCCCTCACTGGCTTCTTCTGTCCTTGACAGATATCCCTCCCAGGTATCCATTCCAAGCCCTGCCACCACACTATGGGCGACCCTACCCCTTCCTGTTGCAACCCACCGCAGCCGCTGATGCTGATGGCCTTGCCCCAGATGTGCCACTCCCAGCTGATGGGCCCGAATGCCTGGCACTGTCTCCTGAAGACAAGCCCATCTGCCTGCCACCCTCTAAGATCCCAGAGCCACCTCGGGACAGCCCAGAGGAGGAGCCGCTGGCCGACCGGGAGGTAAAGGCTGAAGTTGAGGAAATCGAAGAGGGCCCCACAGAGCTGCCTCCCCTCCAGTCACCCTTGACCCTGCCCGTCCCAGAGACCATGGTGGCTGTGAGCCCTGCTGGTGGCTGCGGAGGTAGTCCTCTAGAGGCCCAGGCGTTGAGCACAGCAGGTCCGGGCTGCCGGGAGCCCTCTGAAGTGTCAGACTTTGCACAGGTTGCTGAACCACAGATAGAACTACCGAGTAGGACAGAGCCCCGCATGGCTGCCCTGGAGCTGGGGACACAGCTGACACCTGAGCCACTGGTGGAGACTAAGGAAGAACCAGTGGAAGTGCCCCTGGATGTGCCAATGGAGGAACCCACGGCAGAGGCAGGGCCTGAGGACAGTCTGCCCCAGCCATCCTTGACTGAGCCTCAGCCCAGCCTTGAACTCTCAGACTGTGATTTGCCTGTCCCAGAGGGCCAGTGTCTTAACCTGGAGGCCCAGGAGGCCACTCCTGCTCCTGCCAATACCTGTTATCTAGAAGAGACCCACTCTGAATCACTCCTTCCTGGCCTGGATGACCCACTGGCTGGCATGAATGCACTGGCAGCTGCAGCGGAGCTGCCCCAGGCCAGGCCTCTGCCCTCCCTGGGTACTGGAGCCCCAGCGGGGGAGAAGCTGGATACAGCCCCCAGCCTAGTCCTGGAGCACAGCTTCCTGCAGGGCATCACCCTCCTCAGTGAGATAGCCGAGCTGGAGCTGGACCGGAGGGGCCAGGAGGTTGCAGGTAAGCACTGGGCTGAAGGCTTCCAACATGCTTATTCAGTGGTGGGGGTGCATGTCTTTAATCTCAGCATTCCTGAGCTATCATTTGCCTGTTCCAGAGGCCAGTGTCTGAACCTGGAGACTCGCGTCTATCTCTGTGGTTCTAGGGCAGCCTGGTCCAGGCTACCTAGAGCTTCAGAGTAGATTTATAGATTTAGGTGTTTTGTTTTTTCTTAAAAACTTCCAAGATCCCCAGAATATGTCTTATTCACATTTTTCTTTTGTTCCGTTTTTGCTTTTAATTATAAAACCAGGCTTGGTGGCATAGGCCTACCACCCCAGCTACATGGGAGCCTGAGACAGGTGGATTGTGAGTTTAAGGTCAGTTGGATTAGAGAATATAAGGCCAGCCTAGGCAACTAGTTGAGACCCTGTTCTCACCATAAAAAGTGAAAAAAGGGCTGGAGTGTGGCTCAGTGGTAGAGCCCCTGCCTAGAATCCCCCAGTGAGGGGCTGGGGTGTGGCTCAGTGGTAGAGCCCCTGCCTAGAATCCCCCAGTGAGGGGCTGGGGTGTGACTTAGTGGTAGCGCCCCTGCCTAGAATCCCCCAGTGAGGGGTTGGGGTGTGGCTCAGTGGTAGAGCCCCTGCCTAGAATCCCCCAGTGAGATGCTGGGGTGTGGCTCAGTGGTAGAGCCCCTGCCTAGCAAGAGGGTCTTGGTACAATCCCCAGAAGTGCAAATTAAATAAGTAAACAAACAGTCCCCTTTCTGGTTGGAGTGTCAGTTGAGACAGTGGAGTGCTTGCTTTGGCCGTTGACCGTGGGGTCTTATATACAGTATTAGACGGTGATGGAGGAGTGAGAAGTGTGTGTAACCAGAGCCACTCTGATGGACGTAAGCCTCCAGTCCCACTTCTTCCCCTGGTATGATGTGTCTTATGAAAGCAGGGTGGGTGGGATGGGGGCAACAAGAGGGGTGACTCTGTGGGGAAAGGCACCTACCACTAAGCCTTGATGATCCCATCCCTGGAATCTGTAGTAGCAGAGGAAAACTGATTCCCAGAAGTTGTCCTCTGAGTTACACACGTGTGCTGCAGCTATGAGAGATCCTGTCTCACCCTCCGAAATGCCCCTCCCCCAAAAGGCAGAGAGAGACGTCGTCTGCTCATGGAGCCCAAGCTGAGTAGTCGTGACCTGACGTTAGGTGCAGTCCGGGTAATTGTGACCTGATGTTAGGTGCAGTCTGGGTGCTTTAAGTCGTCTGGAATTTTTTTCTGCTGTGCATACCCAGTTGGTTCTTCCCTTTTCCACCTCGGTCTCCTGTTCTACTTTTCTCTGTTGACCTCATTTTTGCTAGGCTTGTTCTCCTCACTGGGGCTTCCAGTAATTCCTCCCATGCCTGTGGGCCTGCTCAGCTGGGCTGAATCTGTATCTTTCCCAGAAGTCCTAGTAAGAACTCTGCATCCTGGGCCCACTGGGGTTCACGCTTTTTTGTAGTACAGTCTGGGGAGTTGCACCAAGTTGACAGCCCTGTTGCATACACGTGAGGACCTTAGTTCAAATCCCTACCACCCATCTGACGCTGGCTAGGCGAGCATGCCTCTGAAATTCCTTTGTTGCTACAACAGAATTGGAGGTGGAAACAGGAGAATTCTAGGAGTCCAGCAGCCTTTGAGCCTGGTGTATACACAAGAACAAGAAATCCTTTCTCAAATAAGGAGGAAGACTGACACCTGACTTGGTGTCTGAGCCTCCGGGTGTGTTCCGTGGGGGTGGGGCCACTCACCTATGAATGTGTGTGTGCAGGCACACGTAAGCACACACATCACATGCACGTACATACATGTGCACACACATGTGCACAAAGTTCTTTTTTGGGGGGCAGGAGTTGCCTTCATGCACCTCTACACTGGACCCCTGTTGCTTTTGAGGAACCTCTCCTGATTCTGCTAGAGATAACCCCCCAAATCAAAGGTCAACCATGAGCAACAGCTGGGCCCATCTCTCAGTCACTCCTAGTATTGACAGCCACAAGCTGATTTACGTGTTGGGATTTGCTTGACACTTTGCCAGTGAGTGGTGACTGGGCCATTTTGACTAGAGATTTATTTTCTTTCTTTCTTTTTCCCTTCCTTCCTTCCTTCCTTCCTTCCTTCCTTCCTTCCTTCCTTCCTTCCTTCCTTCCTTTCTTTCTGACAAATATGAAGCCCAGGCTGGCCTAGGAGTTGGAGCAATTCCCCTGCCTCGTCCTCCCGAGTGCTGGGTTTGTAAACATGCCATAGAACTACCTATTCAGCCATTTTTCTTCTGTTTGTAGATGCCTGACTTTTGCCTGTTTGGTTTTAGACTTTGACTCCCTCCGGAAGGGCCTATCCTAATAATCTCTAACACAGCCACCTCTGTAGAAACCGTGTACGTGGGCCGCACCCGGATGTACCTATGGGGTTGGTTGGGATGGCACACACCTGAGTGCTGGCATTTGGCAGACTGAGGCAGGGGGCTCTCTTGTCCCAAGATGACTGGGATTAGAATTGACTTTGCTAAATTAGGAGTCACAACTGTAAAGCCTGGCTTGGAATGTGTTCCTCTGGTGGGTTTTGGATCAACCAGCCTGGTTGTTTGAAGGGAGAAAGAGCTGGCAAACCTCCGTCCACTTCTGTGATTTGGAGCCACCGTCCTTTGCCTCACTGAGGATGTTGAATTGATAGGGGTGGGGCAGACAGGCTAGCCCGCCTTAGTTTGATGTGCTAGGAACCTGGGGAGCGTTTCACTTATTGGAAGTTCATTTATTTTACAAATGAAAGCTGGGCTGGAGAGATGGCTTAACTCACAATCCAACATATAAGAATAAAGCCCACCCCAGCTGGGTGGCACAGGGCTTTACTCCCAGCTGTGAGAGCCAGCCCGAGGAGGAACTGTTGTAAAGCAAGAAGGTCTGCATCTGTAGCCTAGGGAGAGTGTGTGCCTAACACATAGAGCCTAGGTTCCCTGTCTTGTTCACATAAGCCAGGTGCAATGGGATAGCCTGTCACCCAGCACTCGGGAAGCAGACGCAAGAGTGTCTGGAGTTCAAAAGTCAGACTCTTGTGTCCAGGCTAGCCTTGACTACATGAGATGCTGTCTCAAAAACAAAAAAGAAATGGAGCTGGAAAGAGACATTCTTAAGGCCAACCTGGTCTACATAGTGAGTCCTAAGTCAGCCAGAGTTACAAATCTCAAAACAAAATAAAAATTCAATAATTATGTAAGTAAAAATTGAAATAAATCCCCAAGCCACTGATTTTTTTTTTCCCCCAATGAGGGAGGAGGTATTTTTTTTTTTGTCACCTCTGTTGGGAGCAATTAATTCTGGTTGTAACCAGTTCAGGAAGACACTGTTGCCATCTAGTGGGGAAAGTCAGGGAGGGTTCAATGATTGACAGAGGTTGATACAGGACAGTTCCTGGCAGAGGCGTCCATCCAGTGGCATTAGGAACAAGGCTGCGAAGGCTGACTATTGTGTAAGTGCTGAGATGCCCACCCTCTTGGCCTTCAGACACAGAGGGACGTTTGCATTTTTTTTTCTCAAGCATGCTTGGATAGTACCCAAAAACTGGTTAACTTTTAGATTGAAAATAAAATATCAATTTGAAAATGCAAAGAGGACCTGTGAGATGGCTCAGTGAGTAAGGTGCTTGCTGTTAATCTTGAAGATCTGAGTTCGATTCTCTATAACTCAGGATGGAAGTGGAGAACCAATTCCTGAAAGCTGTTCTTTGACCTCCGCACACACATCGTTGTGTATATAGCACGTTTTCTTTCAATTTCTCTTTCATACACGTAGGAGAGGAGAGGCACACAAGCTCGCGCACACACGCACACGCATGTGCACGCATGCTCACTAAATGTACACACACAGGTGTGCAAACACAAGCAGTAAGTAAACTAAAAATTAAAATAGGCATGGTGGTGCAAGTCTCTAATTCCAGCACTTAGGAGGCTGAAACTAGAGGCTAGTGAGGTTGAGGCCGCCTTAGCTGAAGCCAGACGTGACCTCCTGGAACTCAGGCAGCCCCATGTATGTAACAAAGCATGACCTTGAACTCCTGATGCCCTTGCCTTCACTTCCTGGGTCCTGACTGAGATGTTGTGGACCAGTATGCCTTTTTATATGATGCCAGGGATTGAACCTCAGGCTTGGCGCATGCTAGGCGAGCACTATTGACTAAGCCAGCATCCTCGGCCCTACCCTGAATTTAATATTTACACGGGAGGCTGGGTGTGTTAGGAATGTTGGAACACGAGAGTAATTCCTGAACGCTAGCACACAGTGTCATATCCTCCCCCAGAGGAAACCGTGTGTTGGGGCATTACACCTTCCTCCTTGTTTTGTGCTTTTTAAAATACATGTCTTCATGTGTCTATGTGCATGCACATGTGTGTTAGTGTTATGTGTACATGCC